CGGCCTCAGCCCTGGCAGAGGCAGTGGTCGACGCCGTGCGACTGAGCTTTCAGACGTGCGCAGGCAAGGAGCACGGACCTGATGCGGGCAGCATCCCCGGCGTTCGGATTACATCGTCCATGACAGGTCTGTAATGCGGGGCCGAGGCAAAGGGTTGGTGCAACAGGATAGTAGCAGTTGCCTCAGTGTCGATCATGATCAGATCATGGCTCCAGGGTTGACGTGAACTCTGATCAGATTCAGATCAGGTGCCTGCTCTGGAAAGCCTGGTGCAAGAGGTAAAGGCTCGAGTGGCTGCATCCTCGTTTGTCTGCACCTGCCACTTCCAGTAGGGCATCGTAGGCACACACGGGTCAGACTGGTATGCAGGGCAAAAGCCCTGGACCCTCATGAGCCTGTCAAGCCCCAGAGGCAGCTGAACCCCGACTCAAAAGAAGCATTTGGGTTGTTCTCAAAATTATGGGCCCCATTTGGCTTTAGATTATATTGAGGCCCGAATCTTTAGGGGACCAAAATGGGACACTAATTTCGGGAACTACCCATGTGACTATAGACTATAGTTTGACACACCAAGCTGTAGAAAACCCAAGCCGTCAAGTGCCCTGACCCACATGCATGTACTGTAGTCCCATGCGTCAGACACCTGAGCTGAGCAAGCGCTAATATATCCCGAAGTCACTGAATCCTCCGACGCTTCAGCGCCTACCACCTCTAGACCTACCTCACATAGAATCTGAAACCCACCCAAAGCCGCCTTGAATCACTCGATGAATCTCCTTGACTGGAACTCCCTGGCAAGGTCAAATTTCAAGCCCTCGACTGAGTGCAGATTCCATAGCCAATGTGTGTCGTGCTAGCATGTCAGCTTAAAAACCGTAGCACCAAGGTGCCAAGCATGGGATTTCTCAATTGACTTTTCTTTGCTGTCGCTGCAAGAGAGACGTTGTTGACAGATGTTAATCTAAGATTAACGATGAATTGAATTCTCCACCTTGCTTCTCACAAAGTTCTTCCAGCATGTGTGTTTCAAGCAGAGGCCCGCCTCCGCCGGCACCTCCTGATGCTGGCAATCAAGGCGAGCAAAAGATGGCACTGTGGACAACTGTTTTGCAAGTCTAGTGGCCTTGTCGTCTTCAGGGGATGTTCCGGCAAGCCCCTTCACAGCTAAAGGGATGCTCGGCCAGGACCCCAGCCGGGTAGTTTCGGACATGCAGCTGTAACTTGTTCGTATGCTGCGGGCATGTTGGGTAGGTGGGTGAGCAATGGCAAGTGGCCAGCATCTTTTTAGTCGGATGTTGGCTGCAGCCTGCGCAGCTAAGCAGGAAGAACACATGGAAGGGATGCGGCCGTGAAGTTTTCAAATGTTGGCTCCTGACCTTCAGCGGGCGGACTCTGAAGAGGTTGACTGCAGCAACATAGCATCCTCATCAGAGAAGCCGCATCACGGGGTTCCTGCTATTATGAGAGCGGTGACCCGAAACCCCGCGGGACATTTCTTATGAGACACACGGCAGAGGCAAAGTTTTTTGAGCTTGATTCCAACAT